TAAGAATAGTAATGAAACCAATTTATTTAATATATAATTTTCTAGTGAATAAATTTTTTTGTGGAATGTGAGCGTAATTTTTTTCGTAAGTTTTTTACCTTTTTATCGATCAATTGAACCTTTCAAATGGCTTTATATTGTGCACTATTTTTTGTAATATGTCTAACTTAAGTATATATAAGCATATCTGAAGTCGAAAACGATTTTGGTGTGAGATTTTAAAGTGTGTTATTCCATGAATAAAAACGCTTCTAACTGTTTTATTTTACATTAAAAATTTCAATTCATTCATTATATGCTTAATACAACATACTTTTGTGCTTAAAACTGTTTTCATCGTGGTTTTTTATAGATATGAATCATATCAAAACATATATAAAAAAGAAAAATTTTTTTGTCGCTTTGTTGTGAAACTTCTTTTAAATTTCTTTAGTTATGAATTTAAGGTAAATTTTCGTGTTAAAGATATCATGATTTTTCTGTTATAATTACCTAAATGGAACTTTAATGGTATTTAGGATGCATAATATCCAATTAAAGAAAAAAAGTTTATAAAAAAATTTTTAGTCTATGCAAAAGAAATAAAACCCTTTAATTTTAAGAATCGTTACAATAATATTGAAAAATTGTAAATATTTATAAACTAAAATTTTTTTATTGCTTGCGCAATCCCAATATAAAGAGTTTTATTGGTTTTCCTTTTGTTGCAAAAAAACATAGACTTGAACCGCAGAATTTTACGTTCAATAACCAACAAGCATAAATAATTTACATTGTTAATTTAAATAAAATCTCTTATTTAAAAATATAATTTTATAAGGTTTTATTTGATAAAAAAGTATTTCTTTATATAAATGAATCGAAATAACAATATATTTTTTATATCTTCATAATTATTCGCATTACTTTTCTATATAATTGAACATGACTATTGATTCATTTACACATATATTCACATAGCAACAAAACATTGATTCTTTAAATTTGTAAAACATCAGATATTATACAAAATGATAAGCTATACAAAACAGATTGAGAAACAGCACAAAAACGTGTTATTATTAAGAAAATATGTAAATACTTTTACAAAAAAAACTTTTTAAATAGGTCTATTCAGAAAGAAATCATGAATTTGTTAATAAATATTATATAATATGCTTTTTTTTGTCAATCTAAAATTTTAATGCTTATATTGTTATGTAGATGTGTTATAGAGGTTTTTACTAAAGTATTTTTAGAGTTATAGAAACGATATATAGCCAGTATAAATGTTTTATATCAAATTCGACATATTTATATATAAAGTAATCAAAATATAATAAATTACCGTCTTTTTTAAGGAACATAATAGATTTAAATATTGTCAAAATTCTGTGCAACCCAATATAGAAAAATTTAAAATATATAAAAATCATATTAAAATATTTTAATTACAAAAACTTAAAAAACCTTAAAAAAATACAGATTTGTAGTTTCATAAAAAAATTAACTTATTTATGTTTTATTTTTTTAGAATGAATATAAAATACTGCTTAATCATCACGGAGGTATAAAATTTTTTTAGTATGCAAATCAGTCTAAAATTACATTGTTCATTTGTCATAGTAGTATCTTTTATGTATATTTTACTGAATACGAGATTGCAATGTGTCATCAATAATAGGTTTTAATTGGTAAGAAAAGTTTTTAAAAAGAATTAATTGTATATGAAAATACTCATAGAAACCTTTTATATGTGATTAAATATGTAAACTAGTAGGCAATAAACAACATCTATTCTATTTTAAATTTAATAGACATTAATATGATAATAGTGCTATATTTAAATGTTAAATGGTGTTAAAAATATGATTCTAACTTCAAAAATAGTATGAATTAACAGTTTTGCAATATCTAAAATTAAATTACCACTTATCATAAATTTATTTATAATAATGTTTAGAAAAGGGTCAAACCCCATTTTTCTGGATATAAAGCCTATAAATTTAAATCTTATAGATATATCATGTTTTTTGGTAGATCAAATCAAATTATGACGCATTAATATTTATTTGTTTTGTTGGTGTCTTAGCATTACGATCTAAAAAATATCGTTTTATAAATTGTCATACGGATTTTTGACTTGCTGCATGATGATAGGTAATATTGATATTTTGGATTATTTATTTGTACATTTTATCACATGTAAAAAATATTTCACTAGTTGTTATGTTAGAATTCAATTAATAAAAATTTAAGTTTAAAAAGGCCTATGTTAATATTACAATAAGTAAAACTTATTCATTATTGCAAAAACTTTATAATTATTTTTTCAGTTGAAAATAACAGTAAATAGTGTTAATAACACCTTTTTGTAATTTTTTATTATTTTATTTTGTAGTAACATATTACACACATTCTTAAATATTCCTCATGGTACTTTATCTGTTATTATTAGAAAAATATTTTTGAATGCATAATAAAATAGCAAGTAATTAAAAATAGCACTTATAATCAAAGTTTGAGTCAATTATATTGAATTGTGTTTGTTTATATTTATTCTTGGTTTTTTCAACATTGCGCTATTAAAATAATTTGAAGCAAAATATTATTGTTGGTTTTATTGTGTCTATTCTATGTAAATTTTTGTTGAAGGCTATTATTCTTCTTTTCCTCTATACTTATTATAGTGGGGACTTTTTTATACTACGCCCACTATCTCAACTAATTTAATTGAACTCTTTACTGCTTTCAGAACAAATTATATAAAAAACATCAAATATATATCGTTATATTGAACGCAGATCGATTCCTCTTCGTCCGTAAATTTCGTGCTTTGAACGATGTACGCATTAATTTTTCATTTTTCTGTTATATAAAAATCTTTATAGCGATTATAACAATTATGATTACATAGGTTAAATAGTTATAAAAAAAATGCGAATATGTTGGTGTGATAAAAGCACATCCCTTTTGTATGAAAAATATCCTTAAGATATTAGAGTAATGACAAATTTGATAGAATTTGATTGATTACATTTGATTTCTGATTTGAAAGCTTTTGAAGTGGGACCAAAATGGAATAACAAATCTTGATCCACGAATTCAAATTTAAATATTGAAAATAGCAAAAAAAACACTTAGCAATAGATATGAGGTTTAAAAAATGGTTAATCTTTATTCATCTCTGTCTCAGGACCTAATTCTAACCATGAATGGTTGTAAATATTGAGATATAATGGATATTTAAATTTCAGTGAAATGTCTATATATATTCTAACGACGTTATCTATTGTAGCAAGATTATTCTTACTAATAAAATTTATTAATTTTCTTATTTATGCATTAAAATCTGTTTACTTCGAAAAATCTGTGGCAGAAACCTGACTTGCACTCAGATATAAATGTTGACAACTTTCTTGATTTAGTTGAAAAACCAGAAAAATATAATATGTAAATATATATTCAAAACAATAAAGCTAAGAAAGTAAACAATGATGAAAAATTAACAATATTAATCATTCGGTAAACTCCAACTCAAATTGCATTTCTTATCTACTCCAGTCATCACTATTCCTATATAATTTATCTTGTATTTTGAAAAAGAATTATGCACATCAACATGTTTTAAATATTAGCTATAAAGATTTTCTTCTTGTTGGGCATAAAATGAGATACTTTCATATTAAATTTTAAATAATAGTATACTTAAAATTAAATATTCAATAGAAATTTTTATTTTTTTTATTTTCTGTCTTGTTATACATTAAATAAATTTATTCCGCCTTCATCAGACAAAATTAAATATTCACCAGAATCTACTAAACATATAAGTCACTTGTACGCCAGTTTATTGAAAATTTTTTCGCAGTATTTTTGATATAAAACTTTTTGACTAAAAAGAGATATGCAATTAATTTTCCATAATTTGTACTTTTTAAAAAGAAAATTAAAAATTCACAGAAAATTGATTTTTATACAAACACAACAAAATTTGTTGTTCTATTCCTTAAATACGCTCCGATTATTTTAGAAAATGCTTTAATAGATCTTTATATTGTTAGATTAGCTTTTTAAATCCGATGTGTGTAAATTTTCTATTTGCGTAAAATCATGATTGATGTTAACAATCAGTATGTAATTTAGATATATGCTATTTTATAAGAACAAAAAAAATTAAAATTCTTACAATTGTTTCAAAATCTTTTCTATAGAAAAAATGCTAATATTAAATAAATTTTATACTAGATAGTTCAATATTACTTTTATTTATAAAATTTTTCTAATTTCGAATTTAATGATCAGGCGGACAAATATTTTAAGTGGAAATGTTATTACTTACAGTAAAATAACAGCATTAATTTTTTCTTTTGTTCGTAAAAATGAAACAATACGAAAACAATGCTGAAAAATCGGAATACGAAAATATTAAAGTTCTTTGTGATCATTATAGCACAAAAAATTAAAATTAAATATTTTCTGTGTTAGTAAATGCAATTATGGCTAAAATGGTTCGAATTTCTTTTTTAGTTGTTGCAAAACTTTTTAAAAATTTCTACTCTCTTTCTTTTTTAAATTCAAAATTATGACGAAATTCAATTAAAAAATTCTTTTTCAAACTAAAGTTGCATTTTGATTTATCTTAGGAAATGCTAAATCTTCAAACTTACTTTTTAAATTAAATAATAACTAATAATATTTGAATCATTAGCAACTTTCTTTTTTACGAAACTTAACATTTTTGAAAATTAAATCATATTGTCAAGAATGGGTGTGTTTATTTGTACCCCGATAAAATGTTTCAAAATAACAAACACGTGAGTAGTAATTTTTTACTGATTTAAATAATGATATTAATTGGTTAAAAATCCAAATGTAAACTTATTTTATACAGGTATTTTTTACTAATTACAAAAATTCATAAATTTTTAATCTGAAAGATTCTTATGGCTTATTTTTCATCTTCATTGCAAATTTTTTTTAATTATATATATGTATAAAAAACTGTCTCAAAGTTTTCAGGTTCCTTAGCTTAGTGGTAAAGCACTTGTCTAGTAAACAAGAGACCGTGGGTTCAATTCCCACAGGGACCTTTTTATTTTTTCGTTGATTTTTTGTATCTTTTTTGTCTAAAAAGTTAAAATCAGCAAAAATTTTTAAAAATATATTTGATTTTGAAAGATTTTGTTTTCTGCCATTAATGTTTTCAACATTTGACATCTCTAATATTTCACATTTTTGCTACAGTATTATTAATTAAATGAACTTACCCTAATATTAGAAGTCGGATGCTGATTGATGACACAAAAAATCCATCGAAAATGAAAAACAATGTGCACAACAAAAAAGCGTTATCACGCGCATTCGAAAAAATACGAGAATGTTTAAACGAACTTGAGAATCTTTTATTTCCAGATATCGCACAAATTGGTGTTAAATCGGAAAAAAAACATGTAAATGACGATTTTTTTGGCTGCGAACAGCCATTTTATGATTATAGAGCAAGAAGAAATTTTTTTGGGTATCCGCACGATTTTGACTATTTCGACCAACCGTCATACGAATGGAAATTGATGCCTGTTTTTAGAAATAGCATGAGAATGCCAGTAAATCGATCGTTAATGCCGTACGACTTCGACCCGAGATTTTATAGCATGGAAAAAAGCGAAATGTTGGACGATGTACAAAAAAGTGCTACTTCTTATCAAAAAGAGTCCGTAAAAACACAGAATATTCACGATATGCTAGAGAAAAATAGAAGCAGAAAACGTGTCAAGCGAATTTCTTCTGAAAAGTCGGAAGAAAATGGACAAAAAAACAAAGATTTTACAAGTTCGGACGAAAAAAATCGGCAAGTAAAAAAGGAATCAGAAGTTGAAGAAAAAAATGGCGAAATCAATCAAAAAAATAATTCGCCAACAGCCAGTTTAAAAGAATCGGTGGGTAACTTACCGGAAAAAAATTATAATTTGAATTCTAATAAATCAGAAAAAACGGAAAATTCAAAAAAATCACGATCAAAAAACGCTTCAAAAACAAAAACACTCGAAAGCTCTATCGAAAATTTGGAAGAAAAATTAATTGGCATCCAAGCAAGCCAGGAAGTCAATAATTTATTAAAAAGCTTATCATATATGCATGATCAGATAGTTTCAAAGGAAAACGATGAGAAAAACGAGCATTCAGAAACGGTCGAAATGGGAAACACACAGAACCCGGGTAATTCTCTCGACAATTTAGATCTTGCATATCACGACCAAAATGTGCAAAAACTAATGCAAGTTGCATGCTACAAAAGCCTCAGAATATTAGATAATGTCAGCATGATTTCAAGCTACTATTATAAGCGCATCGTTGAGTACTGTAAAATCAAGGAAAAAATAGCTTTTGATCCAAAAAGAATGCGACAAACACTGTTTAAGAATGGGAAAATGCCGAATCCTATATGTGAACGACCATCTTTAAAACTTTGGGAAAAATGTTTAGAAGAGCTTACTCATAACGGATATCTTAAAAAAGAGGGTGAAAAGTATACTATATTAAACGAAAACGACGAAGGTTTTGCTGAAAAAAAATCAGAAAGAAAAAAGTCGGGCGTAAACTTACCAATTTACTATGAAAAAGGCGAAAGCGTGCATAATACTGAAATTGACGAGGAAGGTGATCATGTGGATGAGAATATCAAACATGAAAATCTAGTTTCATCATCGAAGTCAATAAAACAGCGTGGTAAAGACGGCTCTGGTGATATTTTAATCAAACCAAGTTCACGAAAAGAAAGATTGAAGAATAAAACGTTTCATAAGGTAAATATTAAGATTCGTCAGGGACAAAAGCATTCGGTAAAAAACGCAAAAGATCAAAAAATATGGAAGATGACCTCGATTTAACTTTTGATTCAGAAAAAAATGTGGCCAGTCCTGTTAATAACGAAGATGAATTATCTTCTGGTGAAATTATTGATCCAATTGCCTTTTTGAACGATAATGAGATGTCTTCTAATCATTAAAACAAACATAAAATCAAAAACTTAATACTTATTTATTCAACATTTCTATGATGCATTTTTTATTGGTAGCTTATACGGATTTGTCACAGAGTATTTTACATTTTTAGGAACTTCGAATCATTAAATTAATTTTTGTTTTTTTACATTTTTTTGAGTAAGGTAGTGCAATTATAATTGTTTCTGTGTTATAAATTTGTGTGCAACTAAAAGTGTTTGTTTTTATAGTCTTTCTTTTTTTGCAAAAGAAAAATAATCGAAAACAAGAACTATTTTAAAAAAATATTTGGTGCCCCATAATCAAACAGCTGAAAATCGACAAAGACACATACTTGATGCCAAGCGTCTGCTTAGACATTTTGTGATATAGTATCATAATTTCTTTTTATTGTAACATTGAGAAATAAAATGACACGTTTTTAATGTTTAATTTTATTTACCTATTTAAGTATTTTTTGAAATATCTTCGAATTTGAGAAGTTCTAACTAGTTTCAAGAAGTTTTTACATTTTAGGAAAATAGTAAAGCAATTTTAAAAATTTTGATAAAAAAAATAATATTTATTTAAAGAAGAATAAAAAGAAAAAATGGAATGAAAAGTTTAGATAAAAATTCAAATAGTAGTAGTAGCAGTAATAGTGGAAACAAGAATAATAGTAATATTTATAAATAAAATAAAACCAACAATATAATAATATATGGTTTTTAGAATTTTATTTAATACCAAGTCACTTACATTTGTTAAATGACACATTTAAACACAAAATAAACAAAAAATAAACAATTATCTTACTTAAATAATAATTTGTCAGAGACATCATAAAATCGTAATTGCATTCTGCAAGCAATTACACACAAGATTTTTTGAAGATTTAAAATTGACATCCAAATAAATAATTTTTCTGTCGAATTTTTATGTAATTAATCATTGATTATAATTTTATTGCTTGATAAGCATTTTTTTACAGCAAAAATTACTAAATTTTTATAATTAAATATAATGTTGTTTAACAGAATCGGACTTTTTTAAGAATTTTGATAAAAGGTATTTATATTTCATAAAACTCTTTGTAATTTTTATAAAAAAACAACAAATAATTTCTAGTATTTTGTAGCGTAATCATTAAAAAATAGAATTGTCTAATTTGTAAGTTCATAAAATTCGACTTTATTGCTAAATTCTCATTAATTTTTGTGCAATAAGAAAAAATGTTCTTGTCTTACCAATCTAGTATAAAAATTTTTTTCAATAAAATTGTGAAATATCACAAAAGAGCGAATATACAAAAAAAAAATAGAAAAGCCAGATATTTGATCATTTCTTCATAGTGGTCCATAATTTTGTTATTAAAGCAAAAATTTCTCAAATTTATACATTTATAAAAAATAATTAAGCCATTCAAGTGTAAACTTGCTATTACAACAATGATCATGAATAATTAATTTTTGACAAATAAATTAAAATAACATAAAGATTAATCATCATTCATATATCATCATTTAAATTAAAGAATATAAATTTGCAATTTTATTAGATAAAGAATCTTTGAAAGAATTATGACACACTGTATAATAAACCATTATAAAATACTAAAATTTTTTAAATAATTAGAATAACTATAAAAAATAATGTTATTTAAATCAAATCAAAACCATAAATAATACAGACAATGAACAATAAAATATTTATTATTTTAAAGATCTTTTCAATTAGTCATATTTTTACAAATAATACAAGATTTGTTGAACTTATAGATAACTAAATTTTATAGCGATTTTAAAATAATTCATTTTACAAACAATATAGAAGTAAAAAAAATCAATAATAATTTTAGATTGCAAAAGCAATTCTAAACCAAAATCTTCGGCTCATTATAAGATATGTTATTGTTGGATTATGTTATTAGAAACTATTTTTTCATTTTGATCGATAGCAATTATTCGATTTGTTCTAATTTATTGTTGGTTATATAAATATAATTTAATATATATTTTGATGTTTATGATTTTGATAGAATATAGCATATTTTCATTCGTTCAGTGAATGTTATTTGATATTATATTAATTGATGTAAAACAGATTTAAAAACTATTCAAACTAAAGTAAGTAAATAAATAAACATGCACCACAAAAAAAATCAATATATCTTTCTTCTAATATCTAATTCGAATACATCTAACATTTATACAATTATTGCGTACTCTATAATAAGTTTTTATAATATATTAGATATTACTGAACAAAAAAATATTACCAAATTTTAGTTTTGTTTTGCAAGAATATACATTTTTCAATTATTTGCATTATAAATGTTGTGTCAGCTTCTGATATCAATATTTAGAGTGGTTTACGAAGTATATGGTTTAATTTACCTTTTTCTAAGATTTTTCTGATGTATATTGCTATGAAATATTTCAATTAAATCTAAAAAATACACTGATTATATAATTATTTTTATGAATCCTTTCAGGCAAAACAATGTATGAATGCTAAAAAAACTTCTTGTTTTAGTCGAATTAATAGCCAAGAGAAGATAAAAGTGAATTATAAGTCATATAATCGTTTTTTTTTAAAAAATATTTTTATGAAGGCAGTATAGAACAATATATACCACACAATAAAGCACAAAAGTTTACTAACTAATAAAACAATGAATATTGCTGTTTCTTGCTAGTAAAATTTAAGAAATCATATCATTGTAAGGTAAATCGATATCGTAGAAAAATAAAATTTTTTAGTAATTGCTGCGCGGACGGAAAACTGGGATTAGCTTTGCTTATAGTGTAACACTGCTTTCTTTCGTTTAATGAAAAGAATTGCATAAGACGATCTTTCTCAATTTTTTATAGTTGCAAGAATATGACGCATAATGTTTGATGTTTATTTTTCGTACCACATATCCTTTTCTTGCTTGCTTAAGATACTCAAAACGACAAGCTGCTTATCAATAAATACAAAGAAACATTTTCTCTATTATTTACTTTGCTATTTTATTTATTTATAATTTAATATAAGAAAATTTATGAAATATAGAATCTACCTAATTTTTAGATTTATCATGAAATTATGTCTTTTTAAATTTTTTT